AGAGTGCTCTCCTCTCGAAGGTCATGAGGACAAGATCCAGAGAGCAACTTGTGAGGAACACTTTGGCCGCTTCTTCAAAAAATCCGCAGTGTCAACCAGAAGCCTCAAGTCTTAGCTCGTCGACCCAAATCATCTCAATAAAAACCTGAGGCTGCGACTTGCAACACCAAAATGACGCACAGAGATGCGACGGACATGGCTCGGCGGATAGCTAGAGCTTCTGAACTTCTTCCGTTTCACAGCAGACGGAGGCAGTGGCAGCAGTCCTGGAAAATGAGGAAGGACTTTTGCTGTAGCTGGAAGGGCCAGTGGAGGTCACTTGCCGAAAGTCGAGAGAAGCAAGTTGCGCGAGTTTCTTTCCGGGTAAATGGCATGAACCCACGTGGCTACACAAACTCTGCATAACATGATTGTCAGGTGTTGAAGACAGTAGCAATGGCTGCGGCCATGTTTGTAGGTAGTTATCGGGCGTGAATGCTGGAGCCAAAGGCAACGTCAACAGCTCTGCCAGCAACAGGGCTATTGAAGGGTTCATATTGGGACTATATAGGGTTATGTAGGGATGTTATAGGATCCCATGGAGTTATATAAACAAGTTGGGCCTCCTGCATACCTCCAAAACTAATCTCGAAGCATGCGGAGAAGAAAGTCTATCGACTCCCTTCCCTGCTAGTAGTTTTGGGCCCATGACCGCGCCTGCATCATAAGGCTCGCCACATGTTCTGTCCCTGGCCTACAGCCCATGCTCTCCTGACCTACTGTACTCAGTGCCAGTAGTCACCAAACGACTTCAACTCCCTGATCCCGCACGCATGAGGACCTGCACTGGCGGCAGGTCTTTGATCTGCTTGAGCATGCCCACCTTGCATTTGACAGCTTGCAGGACCAGTGGTTGGTGTTGATGCCTGCGTGAGGATAGGTGAGCTGAAGCTCTCCGTTCCAGGGCCTGCTCTCTTACTACAAGCAGTCGGGGGGCCAAGTCTGCATCTCCACGTCGAGAGTTGAGGGTCTAGAGTTTGGGGCTCTGATTTGAGTGACTTTTATGAAGCACACGCAGATGACCAAGCAAAGACCGGAACTGAACACCTTCATTCTTTTTCTGAGGCTCCAACGCACTGAGAACCTTGACCAGGGAACAGCAGCGCAACCTCAAAACGTTCTCAAATATCTAGGGATATATATCTGATAAGAATAACAGCAACAATAAGTATAATTATATGGCAATATGGGGGCTATCTTGGGGGGTGGATGTTTTGGCTCATGGTTTGGCTCAATCTGAAAATACTGTGCTTCATTTGTTGAGAGAGGCGCCGCAAGGCTCCAACGCCTAAGCCTCACCCGGAATCTTGACTCTTTGACTCCGTATCATACACAACAGAATACAACAGAGATTGGGTTTGCAACTTTTCTTTGCTAAGAGATTTTAAGCCGTACCGTAGATCCTGATCCCTGAGCCCGAGCATTTCCTGGTAGCCCTTTACCTCACAACAAGTGGTGTTTTATTCAGGAGTCTCAGTTTACAGCCCCAGCATCAATTAAGATGGGGCAGTTATGGTCCCTGGAGTTTCCCTCATCAGAATAGTGCTAAGATTTGGAAAGGCAGCTTGTCAGCCCCCATCTTGAGCTCCCGCTAACCAGGGCT